AAATTATTTTAAAAGACATAAAGAAACAAAAGACACACTCTTTTGAAACTGTGCCATGACGTAAGTACATGTATGACAGTTAACAGGAAACAAGGAGGAATACCATATAAAACATAAATACAAATTATGATACATTACCATCGCTTTTATTTCTTATTGTCATCATATAGTTACAGTCATACCTTCAATTGCAAATGTACCCCATGCAAGCACAGTACAGCATCCAGCTTGCATTATAATTTAAGTGTAACAAGAAAATATTTCACTGTGCAATATGTTGCAAAGGTACTTATTTTCTGTGAAATAGGTATGAGCGATTTTCTGTGAAATAGGTATGAGCGGAACTTATATTCATTGATTTTTATGAAATATGTTCGTTAAAAACTAATATCACAGGAACTTATTTCACTTTTTTAAAACTTTTAATATTGGAACAAAATTCATGGAGCTGTGATTTTTGTTCTGGAACTTATTTCACATTTGGTCAAAAAATTAGTTCCGGAACAAATTTTACAGTGCTGGAACTTATTTTCTGTGATATAAATTCCGGTGGAACATATTTCCTATGAAAGTTGTTCCGGCGGAACAAATGTCACGCCGGAACAAATTTTTTGTTACATATGAGCCGTTATTCAAAATATGTCGTTGATTCAATTAAGCTACTAGAATCAATTTTACGGTTTTGATAAAAAATCAATGTTAACATGCATGTTCAACTATAGTTTTGTTTTTGCTTGATTGATTGTTTGTTCTGTTTGTTTTTGTTTTGGAATTATGACGAAGTTACGACATTATAACATGTAGAACTATACTCACGAGGTGGTTTAACTGCAAATAAACAAATAAGTTATTAGTCAGTTTTCCTATTCCATGTTTCACAAAACAAATACAAGGGCTATCATCATTAACGTGTGAGATCAAATGAAGGTTTTTGTTGAAAATTAAGGGATGAAGGACTATCTAAGTTTATATTTACAAATTTCGTTAGCGAAGAACAAATGCAAAACAGGCTCCAACCTTCACCCTAACCTCAGACAGTAGTGTAACATCACAACATAAAAAGACACACTATAACATATCCATCGATCAAAAAGACATTTAAACAAAAACAAGAAAACATACACTGAACGAAATAGATATCATTGAGATGGGAGTCATCTCTGTGGGCCCCGCTGTGAATAATGTGTGGCAAAAAATTTGTATCTTTATCATTTGACATAGGGTTGTCAACTGAAACCAAAGTTTTTTTACCTTGACCTTTGACCGTGGAAGTTGTACATAAATTATGACACACCCTCTGGTGTTGGTTTATATACATGTCAAGTATAAACTTTGAAATCATAACGGTTCTCAATATATAAAGCGGACACGATCTTTACCATAGGACATTGGGCTGTCAAATGTAACCACAGTTTTTGACCTTGACCTTTGACCTAGGAAGTTGTACATAAATTATGACACACCCTCTGGTGTTGATTTATATACATGTCAAGTATAAACTTTGAAATCAGAACGGTTCTGAAGATATAGAGCGGACACGATCTTTACCATAGGACATGAGGTTGTCAACTAAAACCAAAGTTTTTGTCCTTGACCTTTGACCTAGGAAGTTGTACATAAATTATGACACACCCTCTGATGTTGGTTTATATACATTTCAAGTATAGACTTTGAAATCATAACGGTTCTCAAGATATAGAGTGGACACGATCTTTACCATAGGACATGGGGTTGTCAACTGAAACCAAAGTTTTTGACCTTGACCTTTGACCTAGGAAGTTGTACATACATTATGACACACCCTTGGTGTTGGTAATATACATGTCAAGTATAAACTTTGAAGTCATAACGGTTCTCTAGATATAGAGCGGACACAGACGGACGGACGGACGGACGGACAGACGGACGGACGGACAGACGGACGGACGGACGGACAGACGGACAGACGGACGGAAAAACTGATCACTCTAGGGCGTCCGCCATTCTGGGGCCCTAATAATTTTGATCAATGAAACGAATACAAGTTATGTTTTAATTTGTTGATTACAAAATCGATGTTAGTGCCAATGTAAGCAATATTCAAAGATCTTATTACAACATTAATAAGATAACCTTTACCAATAAGTTTGTTTAAAGGTAAAAATACAGCGGGTTTAAACGTTTTGCCCTAATACCTGACCATGGTAATGTTTATCCCATACATCCATTTTGTTCGGATCGAAACTGAACCCAGACTTTACTTGTCAGTCGCGTTCATGAAATGAGTGTTGGTAGCTTGGTCAAAACAACGTAAATTTATACAGAACTTTTTATCCTGCTTGTCTATAATTATAATCAATTTATATATCGTTACTCTTACTGGTATCTTTGGTGATTTTTTTTGCCACTATTAGACCTATCGAATTAGACTTTGTAATTCGGGTTTGTACTTACATGAGAAACACGACGGGTATATGTGAACCAAGATGTTGTTACCCTTCCGAAACACCTGATATCAACCCTGGTTTTTTTGGTGGGTTCGTGTTGCCCAGTCTGTAGTTTTCTATGATTTGTTTTGTACTGGTGTTTGTCTTTTCGTCGTTTTTCATTTTTTGCCATGACATTGTCAGTTTGTTTAAGAAATAATTCATGGAAGCAATAGATTTGTTGGACATTTACACATAGCCTGAGCCGTGATATTCGAATTTTATCCTGAGAATTATTTCGATTCTAATAGGACAAATACGGCAATTTAAAAACTGAAGCGAAGGTAAGATTGCCGTGTGTATGGCTGTTCTAATTTACCCCCTGTAAGATAAAAGCTACAAATTTCAAATGAATCTAAGTCTTGCATGGATTATTTCTTAAATAACCACTGCAAAAATGTGTTCAATCCTTATAATTCTTAACCCAAACCTTTTTTTTTCGTTGGCTACTATTTACCGTCAAATCCACAATTGACATGTCGTAACTAAGGAATTAGCCTCCATATTGACTTGCTGAAATCCACAAATTTGCGAATAATGCAATAGAATGGAATTGAAACAACACCTACCTCAAAACTCCATTTTAATGCGATATCATGCAAACTTAGGGTGTATACGTAATGGAAAACCTTCGACTAGAGAGTTTTCATTCGTATAACGTCATGTTATGACATGACGTTAATACGCCAGGATCATTCATGAAATTTTACGGAATTTTATTTTATTTTGATTTTATACATTTTTAAAGCTCTTGTGCATTACTTCTTTTTGTTATGCATTATAATAGGAATAACGGTTCTACAGTTTCTTTTTCAATTTCAATTTCAACACAACGAAATCGACATAGTATTTGCACACAGGTTACGATACATGTGGATTTACGTGGGAGGTAAATGATAACAGCCATCAATATGCACATCTCTGAGTCTGCGCTAAGTATAGATATATCGAGAATTTTATCACGCTGTTGTTTACAAAGCGAAAGAAGCACGTCATATTAGAATTTCGATTTATGAGTTTGAATATCCCTTTGGTATCTTTTGACTCTCTAAGACTCTATATCTGGTCTTGTCATGTTCCTGTCCCACTCGCTACTGAATAATTTCTATGGATTGTGTGATGTGTGATGCTTTGGTTTTTGCAGCGGGTTTTATCAGTATGTATATCCGTTATGAGCTTTTGCAGAGCCGTTTTTTAGTTCAAGTTTTGTCTTTTGTCTTCTTGATTGTTTCAAATATATACAGTAACAGACCTCGATATACTAGCATGATTTTGCTCAACGATAAGACCAGGTACCTTTATTAAAGAATACTGTTTATTAATGACATGTATCAGCTAAGATGTCATTTCTACACTATTAACTATCGAACAGATGTTAATTTCACTTCTATTTTATTATATACACTTTTGTTGTTATTTTGAATATTTCCTAAAAAAAGAAGCTGGATAAACCAAGCGGACATTCGGAACTCATCAGTTGATGTAAAATTGACAACGCCATGGCAAAACACGAAAGGTAACGAAATAACAAAAAAGCGACAAAACATCACATAGTCATGTAAATACTGAGCAACAAGAACCAAACAAAGCATCAAACTACGAATACACTCAGTATATTTAAATTTTCGGTAAAATGGAGTTTTCATCGATGATAAAAAAGGCATCCAAAATACTTGGCTTTAAATTTGTAACGCCAGACAGCGAGCGTTTCGGCGACAGAAGGATACTTAGATGTGCTCGAATTAAAACAGTTCGTAGTCAAAATTAAATAGAAGTTTGAAAAGAATCAAAGGCTTGGTATATCTACTGATCATTTAGGGCAATTTTAGACAAATTGAATTGATAAAGCCAAAAGCTTTAGAGTATATTCATTGTTATATGAAATTAAATTATACGAGAATAGAGATAGTTTTGATTATCCAAATTAAAGATCTTTCAATACGTGTGTACTGACAATCTATTCTGTTTGTACCAACATTTACGAATAAAAAATCCATTTGACAAATGGATTATGAAATAAATGAAATGTTGAATACAAACCTGCTAGTGCTACCCAAGCTGAAAGGGAAAGGAAAATACATGGTTACATTTAAAGGGCCAATTTTAAGAACAAATAAATCTTAAGAAATAAAAGTAGTATGTTATGAAATATGAATAGTCTTATACAATACCGTCTACATGTATGCATTGTCTTTAGTTATTTAGCATTTCCAATTGTCGAGAATTTGCTGTGTATTTTGGCATAATATGTTTGTCTAATTGTTGTCTGTTGTTTTGTTTGTCATGTCTTATTCATGTATGCTGTTATGTTTTTCATGTCTTATTCATTTTTGTTGTTTTGTTTTTTTATTTCTTATTGTTGTCTGTTGTTTTGTTTGACCAACACGCTTAATTTTTCACGCACTCATTCGTTCATTATATTTTCTTTCCAATGAATAGCACGACATTCACATATTTGATAAAGTAAATACAAATTACTGAGGTTGAAATAATAAAACAATTTGAGTTAAAATTCAAAACCTAAATTTAACTTACTCGGAACGCCTCTGACTGCAAATAAAAAAATAATCTAATATTATAACTGAAAAAAAATTGTAGTTTTTGGTACCATGATTTATCTGTAATAAGAGAATGGAGTACATGTACGTAACAAACTCGTATTTTAAGAAGCAGTTTTTTTTATTGTTAAGTTCATAACATAGCATTAACAGGAATTTACAGAAAAAAAGATAAATGACGCAATAAATCAGCATTCTACTTTTGAGAATTACTCAATGATAATTTTATAAGTAGTTATACAAGGGATAAGATATAAATCAGACATTTATTATTTTTGTTGTTCATTAGAAACTATACTGATACAATTGTCCTACTTACGTTTACAAGCAAGCAATGATAAAATGCATATTAGATAAAAAAAGAAAAGTATTTTAAGCATGTGTAATGATATTATCCTTTGTGCAATCAAAAACTTTGATATGTTAACGTTGATAAACATTGGACTTTTTTTTCTAGAAAGCATATTCGACCAAAGAAGGAAAACTAGGGACCATATAACTACTTAATATCCATACCTATGAATCATTTTAAATCCTTAAGATGTTTTGTCGCTTAATAAGGTCACATTATGTTTTTGTCCAACAACATTCAGCAATTTTCAGGTCATAAAACTCAACTTTACTTTCTTTAAAATTTTCTCGCGATCCCTGGCGTTTTCTAAATTTCACCCGTTTAATAATTTAACTACTTCCTCTGCTACAAATTTTTGATTCTTGAGTATATTAGCAGTGACGATCGAAATTTAGATTAAAATAAATGGACAGAATTTTCATTTCATCATAAGCATCTAATTAAAAAAGTATAACCATAACCGTAAATTTTATGAGCATTTCTTTTGTCTTTTGAAACCTATTCATTTGCCTAAAATGGATAATTGTCTAAGCTTAAAACATGATTAATATACGGATATAGTTACGATACTGTTGTCAGGTCATTAAAGATTGCATATTTTGGCTTTAATATTGATTCACTTATAGGGTCTTTGCATCGGAATTAAACACATTTATTCCAAAAAACCAGTTGTTGGCATGATACAAGTTATGTTCTTCTCATATATTTTATGATGGTATGATACTAAACCCCTAACGGGAGGGATTGTACTTGATTTTCATATGATGAAGACATAATCTTTCAATCAGTTTAATTGAGGTCCGGAGCTGGCATGTCAGTAACTGCTAGTAGTCCTTTGTTCATTAATGTATTATTGTCATTTTGTTTATTTTCTTTTGTTTCCTATTCTGACATCGGACTGGGACTTCTCTTAAACTGAGTTTTACTGTGCGTACTGTTGTACGTTTGTTTTTTCTACATTGGCTAGAGGTATAGGGGGAGGGTTGAGATCTCAAAAAACATGTTTAACCCCGCCGCATTTTTGCGCCTGTCCCAAGTCAGGAGCCTCTGGCCTTTGTTAGTTTTGTATCATTTTTAATTTTAGTTTCTTGTGTATACTTTGGAGTTTAGAATGACGTCCATTATCACTGAACTAGTATACATATTTGTTTAGGGGCCAGCTAAAGGATGCCTCCGGGTGCGGGAGCTTCTCGCTGCATTGAAGACCCATTGGTGGCCTTCGGCTGTTGTTGTCTCTTTGACACATTCCCCATTTCCATTCTCAATTTTAATTCTAGTAGGATACATATTATTTCATATTAAAAATTCCAAATTATCTATAAATGTCATTTAGTCCTTACCTACATATGGAAAAGGCTTAGGCATAAATCCATGGCAGACCTCGCAGATAGAATTCGAAGTACTTTTAAACTTTCCTGCAAAATATATACACACTCAATGTTGCAGTTAGTTACATCTAAATTTTATTATAAACTTATAATATATCGTGTATATTTTCCCTGAAAAGTACAATTTCAATCATAGAAATACAAGTTTCATTAGTCAGTAACATTTAAATAAGACCTTGAAAATTTTAATATATATACTGATATATTATGCCTGAAATTCCAGCAACAATCATGACAATGTGAAAATTGCTTTTATGCATTTGGAAATTTATATTGTTTCTCATCAGGGTTAGAATTCGACCTTTTGAGACACCAACGGCAACACCACCTGCAATCAGTACAACTTAGCTATATACATGTATAGCTTTCATTAGTCTAGTACTTCTTTTCCTCGTCGGTTTGACCACATCTTTGTTAACTCATATAATGGAAAGCTGAATTTGTCATATCTATCAATTGGAAATTTGATGATGTGAAGTATTTTTGTCTGTGTTTCTTCATTAAACCTTGAAATGTTTCAGAAATGTTATGTTTCTCAACGCCCTTTCTCTAAAAGCACAATCGTTAAGAGGGAGACAGTCAAACAACTGTTCGTATTCACAAAAAACATTGTTGCTTTACTTTGGCTTTGACAAATGACAAAGCCATCTGTTCCTTCATCAGTTCGATTTAGACAATATGTAGGAAAGTATACCATTAAAGGGCACAAAAACCAAAAAGAATATCAAAACCTGTATATATCAATTTTTCAATTGCGCCTTGAGGTTGGTTGTGAGTGGAAGGGTGGAGTGAAATACATATTTCAAAGTGTAATGGGATTATTAGTCCTCGCTTATGCTATGCTATAACAAATAACAACATTGATATTTATGTATTGCTTTCCTTATGGTTATTATTTAAACCGACCAGAATAGAGCATTCATACTTACTAAACGGTGTTTTGTAGTGGAATATAAAATCATTGTTAACAACCATTTCTTTAACACATCTGTATTCGTTACCATTACGACTTCGAAATAAAAATAAGATGATATAACACATAGCCTAGGACATACATTTCTACTAGATCAATTTAAGAAGGCGGGCGTGTCAGTTTTAAAACTTGTCAATTGAATCGTTATACATATTTATATATCCGATTTTAAAAATCTTAACAAAACAAAACAAAACAATATACCGGGGCGATTTTTAGCTGACTTCATACAGGAGCTTCTTAGGAAGATAGAAAAGAATTAGAATCATCCTTTATCTTCACTTTCCGCTGTATAGATGATGTTCTCTCACTAAATAATTCAAAGTTTGGTGACTGTTGAACGCATCTATCCCATCGACCTTGAGATAAAGGATATAACAGATACAGTTATATCTGCCTCATATCTTGACTTACATATAGAAATTGACAATTAGGATCGGTTGAAATCAAAACATTACGCGGTACGACAAAAGAGATGATTTCAGCATTCAATTGTGAACTTTCTTTTTCTACATGTATGCAGCAACATTTTAGCAGCGCATGCATACGGAGTATATATTTTACAGTTGATACGACATTCCAGGGCTTGTATTACTTTTCATGATTTGCTTGATAGATAGTTGCTGCTCATATGGAAGCTATTAAATCAAGAGTTCCAAATGGTGAAGCTGAAAACATCCCTTCGTAAATTCTACGGAAGCCATCATGAGTTGGTTGACCGTTATGGAATATCTGTTTCAAAGATGACGACGGATATGTTCCATTTGTCGTTACTACAATCCCGTCCTCTTTTCCCAGAATGTGACCTATTGAATTAGACTTATCATGGATCTGTACTTACATGAGCAACAAGACGGGTGCCATATGTAGAGCAGGATCTGCATACCCTTTCGGGGCACCTGAAATCACCTCCGGTTTTTGACGGGGTTCGTATTGCTCAGTTTTTATCTTTCTATGTTGTGTTTTGTGTAGTGTTGTTTGTCTTTTGTTCTTTTAATTTTTGGCCATGGCGTTGTTTATTTTCGACTTCTGAGTTTGAATATCCCTTTGATATCTTTCGCATCTCTTTAACAACGAATAATAATCTCTTGTCAAGATAGCATTAAGACAGTTGTTGTCCATTAGTTCCGTTGGTTGATATAGTCGATTGTCCGGTTTTGTCAGTTTTTATCGCTTTCTTCTTTTTTAATTTACCGTTGCGTTTTAGTGAATACTTTTGACATGTTCCAAAATTTACAGGTTAGCTGCATAATATTATGTTCAATATGCAGAACATATTTATAATCAATAAATGTAGCATTATGTACATAAGCACTAGTAGTTGTCTGTACATACTGTAATAGCTTTAAGCGGCGATCATTTGTGCTTTCTACTGAAATTATTAAGTAGATAAATGCCATGACGAGACAAACTTATGGACAAATATTTCTCAAAGTAAATTAGAACTCGATTGATGCGTAAGTCAATCTATCATGTCAATATAAGGTGTCGATACAGTTTCATGGTAGAAAACTAGTAATATGAAGGTAAAATGTCCAGTAATACTAGTTTTTTCAATGATGACATCTTCACAGCAAAATATAATTACAAGAATAATATCTGAATATGAAATATTAATCATTAAGCAACATGACTTATCAAAGGAGTGACACACAAAAAAGGACGCCTTAGATAACACCAGTTTTGTTTTCAATTCAAGTTGTCCAATCTTAGGGTTTTCGGTAGTGTTTTGGGTATTTTTATCTTATTCTCTTTCCTATTTTGTACGGTTTAGGTATTTGTTTTACCGTTATCAAGCGAAACAATTGATATAATAGACTACTTTTATATTAATTTTTTTTATGCAATTTAACTGTTATATTTTTCTTTACACGACAAAACCATCGGAAAACTGTTTATTTTCCCCTAAACTGCACCGATTTTAAGGTTCATTTTTTCCTTTTAGTTGCTCTTACTTGACCGAGTACCAGAATTTCCTACCATAGGGTATGTAAACTGCCGAAAATTATATAATACGGAGTCAAAAGCCGCTAATAAGAAAAAAAGTGTATTTGTTTTCTATAATGGACGAAAAACACGTGAAAATGTTTTAAAACGGCTGCACTTGATTTCAAGAAATGATTTTTTTAGTAATTATATGTGTAGATAGTGGTAGAATGTTTGTGTGAACAAATTAAACAAGTCTTACCGAATTACATAAAATGAACCTCTTTTCTGCCAACATTCTCTTTTCTCCGTGAATCCGCCTGGAAATTTTGCTACAAACACTGATTGTCCACAGGAAACACTGAAACTTTCATCCTGTCCAGTTGCACTGATAATGCCCCCACTCTTTTGCAAGTTACAACGAAAGTTACACAGTGCAAAAGCTAAAACATTTTATTGCAGATAAAATCCTGCTCTTTTTTTATTTCATTTCATATAATAGTCTAATAGATTATATCAGTTCATAATTACTTCAGCATAGACTACTTACAGTATTAAGACAACATCTAATCATGTTAATATGGCATTAGCTGTAAAATTTATGTACAACGATTAGAATGAAATTCTAGTATTTTATTCATAACATACTAAAACATACATTCAAATTACAAAAAGTCCAGAAGAAACAATTAGCATAATTGCTCTATAATGTATCAGCATTTCGTACGTATTTTAGACATGATACTATCTAAGTATCTATCAAGATGACCTCCAAAGACTGCCGATGGTCATATACTCTGATTTCAACATAAACAAAAATTTTTAAAAAAAAGATAGCGAGCACGTGTAATCGGATTTTTCTAAGTTTGTTTGATTTCATTGTATATGTTTACAATATATGTAAATCATCGTTTTACTGCATAAAAAAGATATTTTGTGGGCCTGATCGTTCAATGAAATGTTATTCAAGGTGGCTCCCTTGTTTCACTTTTAAATGTTGACATTCTTTTCTTTTTAATGGATGAACCACATGATGGACACACGCACACCATCTCCACTGAAGGTCAAATTAAAAGGTTGCGTAAATACGAATTCAAATGAGTTGAATTATTAACGTGCAAGCCAATAATACATTATCGATATTGTTTAGCTCATTCATATATAAATAACAGTCCGCTTTTATAAGTGTTAGAAACAAAACAAATTCTTATTTTATTTTTTGTCCAATTTGTAGCTTATGTCCCTTTAAAGTCAATTAAAATACAATAATAAACGAATGCAATGTAAACATATAATACACACATATAAGTCATGTTTTTAATAAATGGAAAACTAGGTTTAACATTTAATGATTAATATATTTGGTAAATTAATATAATGAAATTTACCTCATTTTTATGCAAAAATCTCATAGAAAACAAGATTATTTTTATAAGTGGACAATTATATTTAAACTTTTTTTTCATCTCACTTGTTCCTTTAAAAGAGAGGTGAAAGTATCAAAGGGTCATTCAAAGTCTTAAGTAAATAAATAAAGTGGAAAAGCACAGAATTCTTTAAAAAATATGACAATTACTTTTTTAGGGGTCAATTATATAAATAATATAATATATATAAATCCTATAATCTCTTTGCACGAATGCAAAAGAAACATACATTCCGCTTCCCCATTTCCATTCTCAATTTTATACAACATATTATTAGTTTGCACTAGATAAAGGATATTAAATGTTCAGAAAGTAAATCTGCATGTTTAATAACGGATTGTTGACACAATTTTAACAGAAAAACACATCATACAGAACTAAATAAAAAGGCTCTCTGAAACACAGCGTGATATTATATTTTATTCTATTCCATAAAATCTTATTGTACATTTATTATCTTAATGCATTGTAAGAACACGTCGCTTACTGTTTGATGCACGATCCATGAAACACTGAAACTTTTAAAAGAACGAAGTGTTAATCGAGAGGATAGATCTTTAAATTCAAATTATGCAAATACATTGGTAACAAATTTATCATCACTGTACGATAACTGTCTAAAAATAATGGAGGTATATTCTTATTCGAATCAGTTATAAGTATAAGTTTTCTTTCTTTAAAAAAAATCTAGACATGATTTGGAGATTGCTTATGTTATATAATCAAAATGTAGAACTTGTGCTAAAATTATTGAAAAACGTACCTGCATTGAACGAACTAATGGTAATTATGGCGATTAAAAGCATCCTTACTGCCATAGCTTTATGCTCACTTTTGATTTGTGTCTTATACTTCCCAGGTTACGATATTGGTAGTTAACCATTGTTATTTACACATTTATGTTTAATGAAAGAGGCATGCGCAGTTCAAACTGTAATATATATATATGCAAACCGATTCATTCAATCTGTTTTCCAAAATAAATGAAATTGTATGACAGTTCAAAGACAATGATTAATAACATATTGTTTTCTTTTTAAATTATCTAGTTTACAAATTAATCATTTGAAAAATAAATCTTATATGCTTAAGATGCGTACTTTTAAAATGGTATAGCAAACATAATACATTAATATCCATAGAATGGTACGCTAGTGAATTTAGGTTGATAGTATTTAGTGTGACATTTATTCTCTCTTTCTTCTCTTTTATTTGAAAAATCCACCAGGACGTAATTTGTCTATCCAAAGACCACAGCGTTTCAAATTATTGGTACAAAAAAGTATTACTTTTGGCATATCTTTATTTTTTTTCGTCAATACGATGTAAAGTACAGTCGTTTTTATTAAAGGAGACATATCTAATGAAAGAAAAAGATACATGTAAACCTTTTGGTCACACTACTCACGTAATGGAGAAGTTATAAATCATTGCAATTAGCTGTCATATGTTTAGGTTAGGGCGTTGTTTATCAAGATAATTCCATGAAAGAGAGTCGGTCGTACTATTCCACTGCTGATTGACTGCTAGTCATCAGATCAGTAGTCAATATGTAGGTACTGAAATGATTTATACCATATCTTTCTAAAATTTTCCTTTGGTAATTATTTTGAAACTTAAGGTCCAACTCCCTCAGACAGAGTTGACATTTGATAAATAAAGCTA